TGTTCTCCAATATAGAGATACTAAAGCAAATGGAAGAAATGAGGAGGTAAAAGAACTGAACAGAAAAATTTAAAGGACAGCTTGAGAAGACAAAGTCAAGTATTATATTAAATGTGCAAAGAGCTGGGGTTAAGAAGCCTAAAGAACATGCTCATCATTTCTCAAGCTGAGGATACTGAAGAAAAAAATTCAGCCTTGACTTGAAATATTGAAGGGATTCCACAGGCAAAATGCAGAATAATGCAGAAATCTTCCAAACAAGATTGAAGAAATATATAGAGTCACTGTAACAAAAAGAAATGTTTGATATTTCAAGAGGTAGCATATGATCAAAGGTCAACCATTTCAAAAGGTAGCATATGATCAAAAGTCAATGGTAATGAACTGAAGGCACTGGTAAAGAACAAGCCTCTGGGAATTGATGGAATGCAAATTGAAATCTTTCAACAAATTGTTAAAGCACTGGAGGAACACACTCACCTATGCCAGGAAATTTGGAAAGACAATTACCTGGCCAACTGATTGGAAGAGATCCATATTTGTGCCCATTCTAAAGAGAGTGACACAGCAGAATGCAGAAATCATTGGACAATAACATCAACATCATATGCAAGTAAAATTTTGTTATAGGTAATTAAAAAATGTCTGCAACAGTACAATGACAGGGAACTTCCAGACGTTCAGAGCTGGATTCAGACAAGGATATAGAATGAGGGAAATCACTGCTGGTGTCAGATGGATCTTGGCTGAAAGCAGAGACTAGAAAGATATTTACCTGTTCATTATTGACTATGAAAAGGTTTTTGATCATGAAAAGCTATGTATGCACAGCATTGCTTAGAATGGGTATTTCAGAACACTTAATTGTGCTCATGGGGAACCTATACATAGACCAAGTGGCATTTGTTTGAATGGAACAAGGGAACACTGAATGGTCTAAAATTAGGAAAGGTGTGAGCCAGGGTTGTATTCTTTCACCAAACTTTTTCAATCTGTAAACTGAGCAAATAATTTGAAAAGCTGGATTATATGAACAAGAATATGGCATCAGGATTGGAAGAAGACTCATTAATAACCTGCAATATGCAGATGGTACAATTTTGTTTACTGAAAGCAAAGATGACTTAAAATACTTACTTCAGTAAGGGTTGCACCTCAAAGAAAACAAAAATACCCACCAGTGAACCAATAAATAACATCGTGATAAATGGAGCAAAGATTGAAGTTGTCAAAGACTTCATTTTACTGGGATCCAGTATCAACACTCATGGAAGCAAAAATCAAGAAACCAAATGATGTATTGCACTGGGAAAATCTGCTGTACAAGACATTTTAAAAATGTTGAAGAGCAAAGATGTCAGTTTGACAACTAAGGTGCACCTGACATGAGTTAAGGTATTTTCAATAGTCTCATATGCATGTGAAGCTGGACAATGAATAAAGAAGACAGTAGAAGAATTGATACATTTGAATTATGGTTTTGGAGAAGAATATTAAAAGTACCACGGACTCCCAAAAGAACAAACAGATCTGTGTTGAAGGAAGTACAACCAGAATGCTCCTTAGAAGCCAGGATGTGAGACTTTGTCTCTCATACTTTGGACATATTATCAGGAGGAACCAGTCCTTGTAGAAGGATATCATGTTTGGTAAAGTGGAGAATCAGTAAACAAAGAGAAAGACCCTCTTTTTACAGTGGCAGCAGCAATGGACTCAAGTATAATAATTGTTACGATGGCATAGGACCAGGCAGTGTTTCACTCTGTTGTGCATAAGGTCACTATAAGTTGGAATGGACTCAATGGCACTTAACAGCAACAACTTTTCCATAGGCCTTACCAAGTGCAGACCAGTATGAATAGAAGCAGGACAGAACTGAAATAAACTCCCAAGGCACAAACATAAAGGGTTTCCCTAAATCTGAAGACAGGATAGAAGAACTGAGACAGATGCTGTAGAGATTATAGGCCCTCACTGATTTTAAACCAGTGGCTGTCTGTGGCTGAAAACGAGCAGAAAAGTTGATAGAAATGCTTTAGTATATGGCTGAAGGCTGAAGGGAAAGTAGGAGATCAGAGAACTATCCTTCAAGTACTCTAGTACTTATGTGTTGGCAAAGATGCACACCAAAGAAAATTTTCATATATTTCTGGTTGTAATACAATTGGTACAACCTCTTTGGGAAACAGTTTAGTTGTAACTACTAGAGTTCAAGATACATACATACCCTATGACTCAGCAATTCTACTCCTATGTATATACTCTAGAGAAATTTATGTATATGTGCACCAGGACACATGTTCCAGAATGTTCACAGCTACATCATTCATAGTATGTAAAAGCTGGAAAAACCCAACTTTCTATCAACAAGAGATTGGAAAAATAAATTGTAGTATATCCATACAACGGAAAACTATACAGCAAAGAAATAATTTACATTTATTACATTAAAAAGAACTACAGGTTCATAATATAAACAGAGAATATGCTATGATTTGGCATCCTGGTGTGGGACTGTTGGATAGCACTGGATTGCTAACTGCAAGGTTGGCAGTTCAAACCCTTTATCTACTCCTTGGAAACCTTATACAGGGTTGCTTTGAGTCCAAACTGACCCCCCAAAAGCACTTAACAACTATGCTATGCTTTAATTTAAACAAAGTTCAAAATATGGAAAAACTAAGGTATATTAAACTCTTTAGATATTGTGTTATGTATGGACCCAAAACAAACAAACAAACCAAAACAACCAATTATAGAGAAAAGCAAATAATTTGCCATAAAAATCAGAATAATGGTATACCTATGGGGGAAATAGGAGTTATGGTTAAGAAGAAATACACAAGGGTCTTCTGGCATGTTCCAATTTTTTTTTACTTGAGTTTGATGACACTTTATGTTAAACTATTTATATTTTAGTATAAAATATTTATGCACACAAACGAAAAGGAACTAGTAGAAAATGCACGAAAATGTGCATTAAAATGGTAATGGGTGAAGAGTACTAATAATTTCCCAATTCTACAATAAATGGGCATTACCCTTAATTTAGGAGTCCTGGTGTGGTGTTGTGGGTTAATGTGCTAGACTGCAAGGTCAGTTTGAACTGCAAGGTCGGTGGTTTAAGCTTACCAGTCACTCCTTGGAAACTCTATAGAGGGTCACTATGAGTCAGAACT